TCTCATGCTTTAATCTGATCAAGAGAATGACTAGAAAACCTACCACAGCTTCACAACACACGAGGGGAAAAATTAGAATCTATCTATTTGTGCATGCCGACAAAATATATTATTATTTCAAACGAGGTTTATTTAGTGTAGGAGGGGGCAAAGCCACATCGCTGTCATATATATTAGGGTCCGAAAGACATAACTGGTACCTGTATCTGCATGAGCACAGAAATCAATATAAAAAAAGAAAAGAATTGTGGAAAATAAAAGTTTCTTTTCAGTTTTTTATTTATTTATAGAATTTTAAAAAAGGGTAATGATTTCCCCAGTGGATAGTTCTTGTGTTCCATAAAAATAGAACTCATTATCTTATTTTGCTTTTATAAATTTTTTTAATATAAAAAAGTGTGAATTTACCATATTATCCTTATTTAATTAATAATTTCAATTTTTAATGTTTGCATTAATAAATGAAATTTTCTGATATTTTGAATGTTTCACCATTCTTTGTCTTTTACTTTATATATATATATAGATTAACGGTTCTCTCCCAACTAACTTTATATATTTCAATATTTGTGTATGTGCTTTAAGCTATATTTAAAATCATTTCAAATTTTCAGGTTTGGCATTACGATTTTATATATATGTAGCTTCACCTTTCAAACTTTATTATAAATGAATTAAGCTGATAATTTGGTAGAAATCAACTCACTTTCAATAATGAGAGAAATTAATTCGCTTTAGTTTGGAATTTTGACTTTATACATGATATGAGTGTTGATCATGTTTCCCGCGTTGGTAACGGGGCGAAGTTTGCTTCTTTTATTTTTATCTTTTATAGGTCATTGTTTAGTTTGCTATGAGAAACCTCTTGACCTTATACGTAATGTCCTCTTTCAAGATTGTACTAGTTGTGATTCTTTTATCGTTTTTATTATATAAAAAAATGTTAAAACTGACGGCCATTCAATCTTTGACTCGAGTGTAGTGATAAATGCTCTTACTATTAGAGAGTTATTAAAAAAATGGGTATGTTCCATAACTTTTTTTAATAGATTTGTTGCAGTAGAAAAAAGTGGGTGAATGAGTCATTTTATAGTGAGGGCCTTATAAATGGCTCTTAGGTTAGGCGCTATTTCTTAATCGTTAAGGTTAATCAATTTGATTCAATGACTAACCAATTGATTTAACGGTTAATAGATAAGGCCTCACTTAAGAGTCATATATATAGAATTCTTGGTGGGAGAATACCCCTCAGGTGGCAAACCAATAAAGGCCCAATTGACCATTTCAAGACTGCTTTCCGGCTAACAAAGGCCAGAGAAGCTAGTCATGTCCTCTTATGCAATAGAGTATACAATCCAGGCCCACAAAACCATGTGGCTCTCGCAATCCATGGTTTGGTTATGTTTGGTTTTCTTGTTTTTGGTCAGCATGTTTGATTATCTTTTTGAATGGTTACTTATTTATTATTATCTTTTTTTTTTCTATTTCATATGATCATATTGGTTTGGCTATCTGACCGAGTTTTGATTTGGTAGGAGATTCACTGATCGAGTTTTAACAAATTCCAAAGGGAAAAAGGAAAAAAGAATGGACGGTAATTCGAACTTTAACATGGACATAGTAATAAATGCTCGTAGCACTAGAGAGCTATAAAAAAATTATTGAAACAAAAGTAAATTCCAAAAATTCCTGAATATTATTTGTTGCAGTAGTCTGGTCAGCTAACAAACTAAACTAATAAACGCGGATTACTATTCTAAAACTTCAAATTATAAATGAGATCAAATTGAAAAGCTCGATTGACCATGTCAATTTCCTTGTAACAAAATTTCAAGGAGGAGCAGCGTCGTTTGCATGCACTTGAAAAGCAGCATCTAGTTGATGCAGGAACATCACAAATTGACCTTCCTTTGGAAATTCAATGGCGGGATCCTCCACCCTTTGAATCTTGTATCCCAAGAAAGCTTGGCACGCAACGCATTTCACATCTGTCGCCAGTATGCTAAAGGAAGGATCACGGTATTCCCTCTCCACCTCAGCCAAGTTTACACATTTAAGGAATATTCCATGTCTCTCCTGCGAAAGAAAGAAGAAGAAAAAAAGAAGGTAACATGTTATAAAAACAAATTTCAATGATTTTGCCGTTTTACTCTTCGAACTATGACCCTAATCAAGGTTAACCCTCACGAACCAAAAACTTGAACTAATTAAAACAGCCGATTTAGCCATGGCTATTTTAATTAGTTTCGAGGTGCTACATTGGCTGATTTTTAAGTTCGGGGGTTAAATTCGATTAGGTGATAGTTCAGGATATAAAACGGCTGAAAAACCCATCGTAATTTTAAAGAAAAGCAACAAAAAGGATTGAGGAAACTGCATGAAACCAAAACCAAGACTCTGAAGTTACAGAGAAGCACTGAACAACAAGAAGTAAGAGCTTAGGAGCTGGTGATTGAACAATGAAAGAAGATGAAGAAAATAAGAAGAAGCAACGGCTGAAAAGATTGTTCATTGTGGGAACAGATGGGGAAGGTCTTTGGCCATGGATAGCCATTAAATTTACAAAAGCAGAGAAAATTCAGAAATACAATTTCCTTACTCCACCAGATTCAGAATGCTTGCAGAACAAGATCGTTATCGCTAAAATTATGAATTTAAATTACCTTCATAGTCACCCTAATGCAATCATTCGCTACGGCGATAACAGTACTGCAGTTCTTGCACTGTAGAATCTCCATTGACATGAGTAATCAGCGAGAAAATTAATCAGAGAGAAAATTAAGTGAAGATGTGCTTGGGATGGAGGGATGTGCTTTATAAGGGACTCCATGAAGTAGGAAACTTAGAAAGAAAAAATTAGGATGGAAATTGGGAAACTTGGAGGTTCGAAAAATTATAATTGGAAAGTGGGAATCTTAAGCCTCTTCATGCTTTACAATTAGGAAACTTGATAAAAAAACTTAGCATGCAAAGTGGGAAACCTGGAGGCTCTTTTCCCTCTCGTAATCTGAATATCAGATCAGACCCATTGGAATTGGATGTGATCATGTGAGGATTGCAAGAGAATTATTGGGCTTTTCATGTACCGTACGGTTCTCCCTTTGTTTAAAGCTTTTTATTGGGCTAAGCTCTTTTGTATTTTGGGGTTGGTGTGTTCCTTTTTCTCCCAGTTTAAAGCTTTCCAGATTTTAGTTTCACACCGTGACTTATTCAAACCCAGAAAAGTACATAAATAACATTTAATAATAAATAAATAAAAATTTACAACCAGCTACCAAATTTTTCCGTAACTTTCTTAATCAATTATTTTGTAATAACATTATCAAAAACGCAAAGAAGTTGATAGATGTGGACCTTTAAACCGTATAATTAGTACTAACCGGTTTGGATTGATCTTAACAAATTGGTCATATAGGAGAGATCTAGAGCGGTCATCCACAATTTTTATTTCTTTTTAAAAAAGGAGCGCATTTACTTCTCAAACACTCTACTATGTAATAATTTAAAAGTGACTTCACATAAACGAAAAACAAGGTGATTTAGAATAAAACAATCTAGAAATTAAAGACAATTACCAGACTCCATGTAGGCATCCAGCTTCTGCATGTCAAGGAAAAACTGGCCCTCCTTTGGTAATATAATGCTACGATCCCGCAGTTTTTCAATCTTGTATCCCAGAAACAGTTTGCAAACAACACAGTTGGCCTCCAGTGCCCCTGAAATAGCATCATCAGGATATGCAGGTTGACTCTTCACTTCCAAAGTAAGCCTGCATGGAGATTGAAAAACTAAAAAACTTAAGAAAGAGTAAAACAGTGAATTGATCAAATAGTTTTCTGAAGCTTACACTTTTTGAAATAAGCCGTGGTGTCAGTCGATCAGAGAGGTCCAAATACGGTCTGATGCCAATGCAATGCTTGTACCGCATGAGTGACAGCAGTAGGAGCTTACGCTCGGGGCACTCGAGTCATTTGACTGCACTTGAGACCCATCTGTACGAACTACTATGGATGAACCAAAGTCATTTGAATACACTCCAAGAGCAGCCTCAGTCTCCAGTTGGTGCATGTGCATCAGGAAATGACCTTCCTTCGGAAATTCAATTGCGGGATCCTCCATTCTTTCAATTCGATATCCTAAGCGAGATTGACAGGAAGCACATTTCACCACTACCGCCAGTATGCTAAAGGACGGAGGAAGGTATTCCCTCCCTACCTTAGAGAAGTTAACACATTTTAAAAATATTCCATGTCTCTCCTGCAAAAGAAAAGAACAAGTAAAAGGTTATAGAAACAGATTTCAGTGATTTTATATTATTCTACTTTTAAAAGTAAAATAACAAAAAGGAGAAAACTCCATGAAACCACAACCAAGACTCTGAAATTACAAAGAAGCACTGAAGAACAAGAAGTAAGAGCTTAGGAGGTGATGATTGAACAATGAAGAAAAAGAAGAAACGAAGAAAGAAACAAAGACAAGAAGAAGAAACAACGGCCGGAAAGATTGTTCATTGTGGGAATAGGGACCATGAATAGCCATTACATTTACAATAGCAGAGATTCAGAAATACTCTCAGCAGAGAAGGTCTTTGGCCATAACCATTACATTTACAATAGCATGTAAAGATTTAGAAATACTATCAGCAGAGAAGGTCTTTGGCCATAACCATTACATTTACAATAGCATGTAAAGATTTAGAAATACTATCAGCAGAGAAGGTCTTTGGCCATGGATAACGATTACATTTACAATAGCATAGAAAGATTCGGAAGTACTATCAGCAGAAAAGGTCTTTGGCAATGGTTAACCATTACATTTAAAATATCACATAAAAATTCAGAAATACTATCAGCAGAGAAGGTCTTTGGCAACGAATAGTCATTACATTTACAATTGCATAGCAAGATTCAGAAATACTATCAATAGATTCAGCTAGTTTTCTTTATTTTATCGGTTTCCAAGTAAACTTTGGTTCTTCAAGAGTTTGAAAACATAAAAACTTCCACAGAAGCAAAATAATATAAACAAATTGATCACTTGGGCTGGTGCAATGTTAAGAGAATTAGCCATTGTTAATTTCCTATTTCATTACATTTGTTTCAGCCATTGATAATGACTTGTCACATTGTAAAACTGTGATGAGGAGGGTCATAAATATTATCAGCAGAGAAAGATTCATAAATACATCATAAAAACAGATTATTCTACTTTTAAAAGCAAACCAACAAAAAGGATTGAGAAAACTCCACGAAATCACAACTAAGACTCTGAAATTACAAAGAAGCACTGAACAACAAGAAGTAAGAGCTTAGGAGGTGATGATTGAACAATGAAGAAGAAGAAGAAAGAAACAGAGAAGAAGAAGAAGCAACGGTGGGAACGATTCGTTCATTGTGGGAACAGATGGGGAAGGTTTTTGTCCATGGAAAGTCATTACATTTACAATAGCAGAGAAAGATTCAGATATACTATAGTCAAGATTATGAAGTGAAATTACCTTCTGAGTCACAGCAATAAAATCCTCCGCCAGGGCAATGACAGTGCTGCAGTTCTTGCACTTTAGAATCTCCATTGCCATCTGAAATCAAATCAGAGAGAAATTTGATTCAAGATTTCCTTGGGAGGGAGGTGATTTACAATAGGCGGGCAACCAACTGCTATGTTATCAGTCAAATGAGAGTGAAGGCTATTGACCCTACTCACCCTTCTTCATACCCATGAAGTCCCCATAATCTCCATTGAAGCTCTGCTTGAGTATGCTGCAATCGGGCAAGGTGTTTGACAAAAGTCCTATGAGAGAACAGGGAGGGGCGAAGTTGTGTGGGGAGCTGAGCTTCAGAGATTCATTTACCGTGCGCTCCTCTGTTGAAGAATTTTATTGGGCAGCTGAGCTTTTTAGGCCATGAATATATTGTACTTATTCAAACTAAAAAAGGTACATAAATAAATGTATAAAAAAAAGTACGTAAATGAAAAAAAAATTTACAACCAGCATACTAACTTTTTCCCTTTCTTAATAAATTTTGTAATAACATCATCACAAACGCAAAGAGATTACTAGATGTGGACTTTTAAATCGACTAATTACTAAAATCGGTCTGAATCAACCATTTTGGATTGATCTTAACCATAAATTGGTTATATAGGAGAGTTTTAGAGTGGTCGTTCACATTTAGATATACTTTCTCAAAGATCACCCTAGAAAAAGTTAGACATGTCGAAAATTATAAGCACAATCCATACCTTTCCCCCTTTTTGTAATTTTTCTTAATAACTTTTAAAAAAATATATAAAATAGAACAAGTTAGAACAAAAAGGGCGGTTTCATCCTAGTGAAATTATGAACTTGAGCCCGTGCTCATTTTAAATTAATAATAGAGTGAAAATGAAAATGTGATGATTCTTTCATGCAAGTGATAATGGGTATGGGGAGGGGGACGGGATCCGCTGTCCCCATTTTCCATGTCCCTTCATATCCCTTGCATAATTTTTTGACACATGTCCAACAACTTAACCCTAACATAACGCTATTAACTTGGATAAAATTTTAAAAATAAAAACTTAATATTGAAATGAAAAAACAAAACAAACAAAAAAACCTAGCAGCTGCTAATCTCAACAGCCAACCCAACTCCTGACAACCACCCATATCCATCTGACCAACGGCATTTGCCTCTCCTCCTCATCGCCGGCCAACCTTATCCCCTTCGCACCCAACCCTTCCACCTTCTCTCTAGTCTGAAAAATTCACCACTTTTTCCTTTGATATTTTGAGTGAAATTGGAGAAATTGGATTTGATGACATAATTTTCACCGTTGATCTCAAGAAAAGGGAGGTATTATATAATTATGTATGAGAGATAAAAACTTTCTAAACTCTTAAACCGGAATTCATGGCCACGTGAAGGAGGGATGCCAGGTATCACTTTTCTTCAAAGAGTGATGGTTTTGTGAAGGTTCCAATGGGGAAGATCAACCCACAAATTGCTTTCATAAGGATTGCAATATCCTGGCATTTTCCCCAAGCCTTCCAAGATGTGAGACCTGTGAGGTTGCCATAGATAGGAGATTGAGAGAGACTCAGGTGAGAGGGCTGGTCTGCAGTGAGGAGGACAAGGGGTTGTGGCGGGTGCTCAAACTGGTGGCTGTTTGGTTATATTTATTCTTTTAATGTTTGGTGTTGCTTCGATTCAGCTGCACCAAAATGGATTCAGCTGCATCCTCAACTTGTGATACTCGCAAGTGCACGAGCCGTTTGGTAATATAGCATATGTAAGTGCGAGGTCGATCCCACGAGGATTGGTGATTGAATGATCCAATTCATTTCCCCTACACAAAACAGAAATGAAAAAGAAAATAAATAAAACAAGAAAAAAAAGGAAATAACTCAAGCAAATAAGTTCCCAAGTTCAATTAGATTAACGAATTGATTATAGCTAAAGTATGATTAAGCCATGGTGTTTGGTCATAACCTTGTGTTCCTAATTCCCTAATTTGATCATTTGTTGTCTAACCTAAAATTAAGCATTAGGAACCCATTAAGCATAGAAGAACAATTTAAACAAC